AAGGTGGTGCCAGCAGGGAGCAATAGCGCGGGCCGGGAACCTGGCAGTGGTCCAGACAGGGTTCTCGCGGTACTGCTCTATGCAACGGGTGAGGGCAGGAGTCGGGCCGAACCAACGACGAAACTCCACAAGCCCATCGCACTCATACAGGGTGTGAAACACGGGGTCAGAAGGGGCAACCTGGCAAATGGGGCACATAGGTTTACAGTATATGCCCCCAGATATAAAAGTCCTCAGAGCACGTTGCTGGAGGACACCCCATCCTTCAGTCTTTTTAGACAACAAAGAAAGAAGAGGGGGGAGAAAGGGGGGTCCAGACAGATGACTGAAGGATGGGTGACGCTCAGAGGCCTGTTTCCAAGCCCAAACAGACGCGTCGCGAATCACTAGTGCAACCACCTCACGAGGGGAAGTCGACGAAATATCAACCTCCGTTCCAAGAGAAGTTCGCCATAATGTGGGCGAAACCGCAGACCACCCAATTCTACGCATAGTGGCAACCAAAACCTGTCCTGGGCCCTGTAATTCAGTCCACGGGGTATCTGGCGTCACCTTGGCGTAGGCAAACAGGAAAACTTGGTCTATCATTCCGACGGGAAGAAGAGAGTCCCATCTAGAGACGGTCCAGAGGCGAATAACATCGGCACGTGCGTCAATAGCAGGGTCGGTAACACCGTGCAACGCCAAATCCATCGTGACAGACCTACGCTTACCTGTGCCGAGACCAGCGTGGTATATAGCACGAACCTGACGAATCTGATGAGTAGATAGACCGACGACATCAATGCCGTACATGACAGTGGGCCGCAAGTTAGTGTTAACAATGCCTGCAACCTTTGCACCAGCCTTCTTTATGTTCAGTAGTCGTCGGGCCCTTAAACCTGGCCTTTTTCAATCGACCAGTGAGAATGGTACGAGAACGACGCCCCCGACGTAACTTGTAGTCCATCCCGAGGTTGCGACACGAGAACTTGACAGCACCAGCGAGACGTGGAGTTTCAGCTGCGATGCTCTGGGCCAACTGGGGGTCGGTAGCCAAGAGGACGATTTTCTTCTCGGAGAGCGGTAAACATGCCGGGAAAAAAACAGCTTGCTCATCAAAAGGTGCGACGCATCGGGACCGATTTTGAGCAACTCCCTCTCCGAGCCTATCCCCAGGACCTGGACGTCGTCGGCGACGAGGCCGAGGTGCATATTAGGATATGGCTGACGAAACGAATCCAGCTCGGGCATCAATAAAATACGCATAAACAGATCGGCAAATGAGCAACCTGCCACAATAGTCTTGCTAGCTCTGACCCACTCCCCAACGATTCGCCGCGGCGTGACAACGCGCGGGGAGCGATACAGAGACAGGAAAACGAAAGCCAAACTCACTAGCAGCTAGCACGTCTTATGAGAAGTTTATGGCGAACCTGTTCAAAAGCCTTCTGGATGTCGAGCAACAGTGCAAACACAGACAAACCTTTGGCGGAAGCCAACTCCGTGAGCACGCCCATGCGCCACACACATGCTTGGCAGGAATGACCGCGCACACCGAACACGTACGGACGAGGATGCAAACGCGCCCACATAGCACCGTGCGCGTGCCTGAAGAACCGAGAGAACGTGCGCACACACGTCGTGAATAGGGCAACCGTACGCTCGACCCCATCAGCCTTCGGGATCAAATTCATGGTGAACACAGCGAGAATGGGAGGAAATCTACCCAATCGAAGGACAGCGCGCCAGATACCAAACAAGGCAAGAAGGGATGAGTCAGAAAGCAGCGCATGATGACGTGGATGCATAGAGTCCAGCCCGACCGACGTACGAGCTTTGTACCTGCGACACATCTGCCTGTACTTGTCCAAGGACGGGCGGGGCAAGGATGCAAGGCAGTCGGGCGGAAACGGCGGGAAATCCAGGGCCAGGCAAGGATCATCAGGGTGCTCCTGCATGGGCCCCCAGATAGCATGCCAAACTCCTTCTCGCGGCGAAGGACGATGCCGCCGCAGGGCTTGACATGCTCTCCGATAAGCGGGCCACAACTGCTTGTCAGCAAGATATAGAAGAGTGCCAAGACGGTTAGAGAGATACCTCCAGAGCCTTCCTTCATATGACGAAAGCACACCTCCAGGAAACAATCTGGAAACCGAAATCTGGATAGTCGACGGAGGCGCACCCCAGTTGGTGTAATCCTGCGGGTCTGGCAACTGGAAAAGGGCAAGCAACTCCTGGGCAGACGCCTTCAGCCAAGAAGAGGTAAGCCGCTCCAGATCTTCCACAGTGTTGACTGCGTCAGGATCAGGAAAGGCATCCCAGGAAGGCGGACAATTTAAACACCCCACTGGCCGAATAACAGGGATGCGCGGCGGACGCCGGAAACATGCACCAAATCAGAGTGAAGATTGCCGCGAAGGGTGAGAGCGACAGGCTGATGCTTGGGGGTCAGGGGGGTCTCCCAGGCCTCACACTTAACAGCAGCCGAGAGCAAGGGGTGGACCACAAAGTAGTCAATCAAAGACTGGGCACCCGCGAACTCATAGGTATGGCGATCTGGCGCGACAGTGACCCCACCTATGAGCGTTAAGAAGCCCGTATTCTGCAAATCCTTGGGGACATATTCCAGTCCCCTGATATAATAAAGGGGGTGGATATGGTCTTCATGACTGCTGCCACCTGCATCAGTAACTGGGCATTGCGATCCTCAGCGCCTTCCCCCGTGTGTAAGTAGACATTGGCCCGAGGGATACCTGGATCCACGACCCCATGCCATAGCTTCAGGATAAATCTCTCTGGGGGGGGGGGGGGGGGGGGGCATGGCGGCAAACGGACCCAACACAACTTCAGAGAAGGACCTGGCACACTGCAAGACAAGGCCCACTCCTGAACTCAATCCACCTTTCTGATTACTAACTGAGGGGTGGAGGTGCGCATGGAACCCATGTTTGTGAGCACGGTTGACTGCGAACTCGATAGCATCTTCAATACGACAGAGTTCTTGAAAACCGACAGCATCAACCCGATCAGAATAGGCCTCCAGGAACATATCGGCATTGGACCAGGAGGTGACGCTCACAGTAACGATGGCCCAGTCCCGACGAGGCGTCTGAACGAAGGCTGACTTGTCGGGCGGGGTCTGCGATGTGCTAAAGGTCAGACGGGCCCATGGGATTGGAGCCCTCCACCACAGCTGGGGTGTCGGCGGGGCCAGCGGCGGCGGCAACCGACGGCGAAAACCTTCCTGACTGTCCCGACTGACCACCTGCAACATCAGGGGCATGAGCAGGACGTTTCGGCGCAGGCGGCAGTGAGGAAGAGGTACGGGGAGGAGCCCTGGCAACGCGTGTTGGGGAACCTTGCTGGTCGACAGACATCCTGGGTTCCTCAGACTGAGACCGAGGCCCTCTGGCAATACCAACAGGAGCATAGCCAGACATAACGATACCCTGGAGGTCACGCAACGCCTGAGCAAGCTTCTTGTCTCTCTGCACTGCCTGGGAAGCTGCGAAGACGTCCGCCACGGCAGAGAGATCTGGGGGCGTGAAGCCCTCAGGACCTGGCTCACTCGACGGGGGATCCTGCAACTTAGCCTGCCACATAGCCATATCCTGAGCGACCCGCTGCTGACGAGAGCAGAGGGCGTCCCTTTCGCTCTGAAGGTCCAGGATTTTACGATCGAACTCACGGATCTGGCTAGAGATCTTGTCAAACTTCTTACTGACCCAGTGATGACGCTGCTGGTAGAACGCACGCTTCTGGGGGACGGTAAGCATGTCGGACTTTTGTGCTCGGAGATGCTGCAACTCGCCCTGGAGACTTGAAACCTGATCGAGAACAGACCTGGTCGGCGGAAGCAGGCGGAGGGAATCCAGCTGGCCCAACATGGCCTTGATAATCTGGTCAATCTGCGCAACCGAGAGCTCATTGCCAGTGGTGTCGACACAGCCGCCATCAACATCGTCGTCGACATAGTCAGCCCAGAAACCACGATCGCTGCCAATACCGTCGTCGCCAGAGTCAGATCCAAACCTATCCTGCACTTCATCACCCAATGGAGCCTGAAGACGTTCATCCAAAGACCGAACTGGGGGAGTGGCAGAACCGTCAACATCATGACGATCATGGAAACGAGCACGGGGAGGGGACACGACAGGCTCATTGCGCCTGCCTTTGCTCCTTCCCTTCTTTCCTTGGACCTGTCCTCTGGAGCGGCCAGGAAAAGGGAGTACTGCAAAACTTACACTTCTGGCGGGGGGTGGTGTCGGGGATCCACGAAGTCTTGCCAGCATCGCGACAGACGAGACAGACGAGATATCCCACGGCGCGCCCCGCGCAAGGTGTGGGCGGCACACGCGCCGAAATCGCCCGAGCCTGCCGCACGGTTGCGGACAAGCTCGAAGCCTCGCGGCAAGGTTTCGAACTTGAGCCAAAATGGCTTGAGCCAAAATGGCTACGGAGGAGGAGGAGGAGGAGGAGGAGG